TATCACGTACACACGAACAGATGCAGATGAAGACAGCCAGTGTAGCAGCAGTCTCTGCATCAGTAGGCCTCAGCATACACAAAGGGAAAACCAAGGTCCTCAAATTCAAGCGGAGAACAGCAATCCAATCACTCTTGATGGCGAAACTCTGGAAGATGTAGAGTCCTTCACATACCTGGGAAGCATCATCGATGAACAAGGAGGTTCAGATGCAGACGTAAAGGCGAGGATCGGCAAAGCAAGGGTCGCATTCCTACAATTGAAGAACATATGGAACTCAAAACAACTTTCAACCAATATCAAAGTGAGAATCTTCAATACGAACGTCAAGGCAGTTCTACTGTATGGAGCTGAAACTTGGAGAACTACAACAACCACAATCAAGAAAGTACAAGTATTTATAAATAGCTGTCTACGCAAGATACTCAACATCCATTGGCCGGATACCATCAGCAATAGCCTTCTGTGGGAGAGAACAAACCAACTTCCAGCTGAAGAAGAAATTAGGAAAAGACGATGGAAATGGATAGGACATACATTACGCAAATCGTCAAACTGCATCACGAGGCAAGCCCTAACTTGGAATCCTGAAGGGAAGCGAAAAAGAGGAAGGCCAAAGAACACATTGCGTCGGATAATAGAAGCAGATATGAAAAGGATGAATTACAACTGGACGGAGCTAGAAAGGATTGCCCAGGACAGGGTTGGATGGAGAATGCTGGTGAGTGGCCTATGCTCCTTCACGAGGAGTAACAGGCGTAAGTAAGTAAGTAAGTAGTGCACAGGTGAGTTGCTATCTGGACTCAGTAGCTAAGTGAATAATACGATGGCATATGAGAAGAATGGTACTGGATACGAGTTCCGTAGTGAATAACTCTGAGATACAGGTACATTCAACTGATGAGTCCCAAGTAGGACTGAAACGAATATCATGGATTCCACTGCGAGCCACATTACACTTATTATATTGTAGAGGCTAGTATCCTCTATATCTGATTCCAATAAATAATATCCCGTTAACTGGTTATTTAATGCAGGCTCAATGTCCTAGTAAAATTATGGATTTACTGGAGATTATTCAAAAGCTTGAACACCAGTTATAGAGATAGTTTATTGTTAAAGATGGGTAAAATCCGCAAATGTACAGGAAGCAAGCACATAGGGTAAGCAAGTGTGTGTGTGTGTGTTAAAAATCCATATATATATATATATATATATATATATATATATATATATATATATATATATATATATATATATATGTTAGTCAAGTATGGATTATCTTTGTATTACAACCAATGGGAGAATATACTACAAATTGATGTGCAGAAATGTGCTCAATCAGACTCTCACAGAAATTTACATAGTGGATTAAGTGTCTAAATTACAGTGAGCAGATAAATAATACAGTAGTTGAATGAGCTTACTACAATATATTCCCTCTTTTTGTTAGTGAGTACTTATACTGTTTTCAAAATGTATGCTTTCCTCACGTTCCGACAATTATTTTTTTGAAAGTTTTCTTGTTCTATCTGTTTCTACCGTTGTAAACAATGTACTGTACGGTATTGTTAGTTTATTTCACATTCTGAATTATAAAGTACTTGTGTATTTGTTCAAATTAAAGAGTTTCAATAAGGATACTACGGGTCCATCAACTTGAACTTCTAAACAAATCAGAATCTGAGTCATCTAAAAGTGCAACAAAACCTATTATGATGATAAAGAGCACTTCATTTTTTCTTAGATCTGAATTAATCATTGCTAGTACTTATAAAGAAAATGTATGGTTATATTTCTACTGAAATTTTTTTCCTTGAACAGTTAATTACAAGAGTATATTATATCCTTCAATACATATCTAGGCTTATTATACACAAATTTATATAACAAATATGTATTGAACATAATTTCGCGGCCAGCTTGAGTAGCTGGGCTACCTGTTCCTGCCATTTAGATATTTCAATAGGTTATCCATTTTTGTTTGTATTAACACACCATTATGTTTTTTAATCATACAACCTATTTCGACGTGTTTCACTCTACAAGTTACAAAAAAGCCTATAGACATAGTGCTTGCCGGTAATATGCATTGAAAACAATGTACATTATTTAATAAGATGGGTTATTTTAAGTACATTATTTAGTTACTGATTTATTGGACTGCTAACTTCTAATTGGTGATCACTCAATATTTATCGTCAGGATCGACTAATAAGTAAGATACTTGCTGAGATACTTTGTGCTAAGAATTCTATATTGTACCAAGAATATAATGTTGAATAAAGCTAATAATAATAAGCATAATTTTTGTAATGATAATAATCGTGAGCTCATACACGATGGTTAACAAATAGTATGAACTTAAAATAAGTTATAAACTATATAAAATATCATGGTTTTGTAGTGTCGGTTATTATGTTAAGCTCACATACCTTATTCTAGGTTTCGGACAGCCCATTCTATTCATTCTACTTGAATCACATTCTGACCTTGTTATATATTCACTTATCAATCTTGACTGTTTTTATATGAGCGCTTAGGTGTGTGTACACTTCTTATCCCATTGCTTATCACATGTCTGTAACTTATTTTTGTCTGCCTATAAATATTGATTAACGCTTGACTAAAGAGGAGTTGGCTTAGCCGCCATCTCCACTCCGAGTCGTTTCTTTTATCTCTATTCCATTCGCTTTATATCCAAAATATATATATATGTATTCACAAGTCCATTCTCGTTACTCGACTTATTTAATTCCGTTATTGACTGACGCGATTTAAGTAGATGATTATATACGAGGATAGGCGATAACAAACATTCATACGATCTAATAGGGGTGAGATCTTGGGCCACTAAAGTGGAGAGCCCATCAACAAACATCGTCCGATCTAAACGACGACAAAATAACGGGCCTCCACTAAAGTTTACTTGTCATTAAAAATGGTCATTCTTCATTAATATAAAATTTGTGATATGACGAGTTGAAAAAGGCAAACTTATATTCTTTTACTCATTGTGACTTCCTTTTCAACATTAATTTCATTTTTAATTCAGTATTATAATTACCCAGTGTAGTATTTGTTTCTGTTTTCCAGTGTGCTGTTTTATTCAGTACAACATTGATTTACTTCAATGTAATGTTTATTCAAGATACAATATTCTTGTATTAAATTAACATGAACTATACGTGGGATGACATGCAGCATATAGTTTGTTATAACTCTTGGCAGTTTTCATAGACGTGATTTTACCTTAATTAATGATCAAAATGAGTGTACAATCAATATATAAATGAGGGTATTTTTGACGGCATGTGAGCCAACTTGATTTAACCGAGCATGAATTGATATTTACAGTCAGACGAAAATAAGTTACAGATATGTGATGAATAAGATAAGAAATGCACATACATACGCTTAGATAAAAGCGGTAAAGGTTGACAAGCGAATAATTAACAAGACTCAAGAGAAATAAATTGAATGGCCTGTCCAGTTATGTGGGCTTAACATAGTAACCGACACTACAATGCAAATTCTTACCAATAATTAAAGATAATCATCAATACATCACAACTTAAGTTCATCACATTTACTGGCAAGATCTTTGACATTCGCACTACCTGAGTTTCAGAGATCTTAAATACTATTGTAGTGTGTGCTACCGATATCGATAGATATAAGTCGTATGTGTCATCAATCGAAAGTGAAGTGCCTGGCAGTAGAAGGTTAAGAACATCAAAGAAACAGAACGAGAACAAAGAATGATTGGTATGGAAACGAAAGAACAAGGAAGTCTGAAACGATTTACTGATATCTGCAAAAGGAACAGTGAAGTTTGAGACAATTGATTGAAATTTTGCTAATGAAACATTTACTGTATGGTTGTCAGATTTTATTAAGAGATTCTTTATTTTCGTGTTCAAGTACAGGAGGTCGGTCGCTGCCCGGATAGCTCAATGGTGACGTCTTTGACTGTGAAGCTGTGTGACACGGGATCGAGTCCGTCCGGGAGCGTCAATCCCGTCAAGATTACACATACACCTTGCTGACAAGTACCAAGTAGCACGAAACCTAGGTCCAAGGTTTTCTGTTGCCTACTTCCAAACACCATCTTATCTCAACATAATGCACGCAATATGGAGTCACCTAAACTGGTGAGCACATTGCAACTTGGTCGATAGGATTCGATCTGCACTAAGAAGGACCTGACACATATTACATTGATCATCATCCAGTGACCAATCAATTGTAAATACATTCGATTGTCCCCACTTGTGTTCTCATTCACTACAGTATTACCACATTATTATAATTATATATTTATCATTAAGCTAACAAATTCTTCAATATAAAAAGAGAAATACTTAAATTTTTATTTAACTTAGTAAAGATGTAGTTTTTCCTTTCATTTCATTTACGTTTTAATCAATGTAATTCACTTTTGCTAAGGAAAAAAAAGAGAATGAATAAATAAAGTTCTATTTTTTTCCCTCCTCCTCCTCCTCCTTCTTCTTCTTCTGGTAAATTGTTCGTTATACATCATTTAACATCTACACAGTCATTGTGTATATGAGTGCATATTTTGGTTGATGTAACGTTTTTAATCTAAATAGATTTGATTAAATACTTTTGATTCTTTTCTAGTCACATTGTTTTTTCCTCTCTCTCTCCCTCTTTAATCTCCCATACAAACATGCGAGTATAGCGGTATATACATATATAACATTGAAAATGATAAAGATACTTTATATCACATACGCAAATATAAATGTATACAGTAAATAACTATTCATGTAACTGACTCTCTATAGAACTAAATCTTGTCCATGAGTATTAAAATCTATGAAATTGACAAACAAACAAACAAACAAAAAATAGACAGAATATTTTCAAATTCATTTGACCATATCGATAATAACTACTTGTTGCCTAAGAGAATGTATGTATTTATAACAAAGAAGGGGAGGGGGAAGGTTAATAAAGAAAAATATAAGAGGGCAATGGAAAAAAAAACTGTTTGTAGGATAGTAGACGATAAAAAATTTCTCTCTGATATTCCTACATCAATACAAAATGAATATTATCATTATCGTCAATATCAACACTTAAACCACACTATGATGTACCAATCAAATGACAACTATAATAATAATAGTACTGGTACTACTAATAATCATAAAAGTTAGTATCCACTGAATTGTATCCATTTTAAATCTTGTCAAAAATATGGTGATATCGTTTAGTATATATACATGTACATGACTTTAAATATTATATTATAATGAATATTATTACAGATATCAGTATTATTCTTTTTATAATTATGATTCTGGATAACTTTTAAGGCTTTCATTAGTGACAATGTCTATTACAGACTTCAAATAAAAATGATGTCAGATAGCGTTCTGTGATTCATTGATTTACAAAGACTTATACACAGGTTTCACAACTCAACTTAGTTCTCAAACTTCTTGTTCTGTAGAATAAAAATCTCAAAAGTTTTTACAATTGATTGGTCACTGGATGGTGATCAATGTAATGTGTGTCAGGTACTTCTTAGTGCAGATCGAATCCTATCGACCAAGTTGCAATGTGGCCACCAGTTTAGGTGACTCGATATTACGTGTATTATGTTGAGATAAGATGGTGTTTGGAAGTAGGCAACAGAAAACCTTGGACCTAGGTTTCGTGCTACTTGGAATTCGTCAACAAGCTGGGTGACATGGGATGAAATCTGTCAGGGGGCATCAGTTCTCTCAAGATTACACGTACACCTTGCTGACAAGTACCAAGTAGTACAAAACCTAGGTCCAGGGTTTACTGTTGACTACCTCCAACCACCATCTTACCTCAAAAGTTTGCCTAAACTATTTATTTATGATAATACATGATATTATACAAACTATAAAAGTAAAAATTATGTTTACTGTTGATTTTGATCAATCATTCAAGTTCTATTGTTTTTTTGTTTATCGTGAAAGTAATTATTACAACCAGTGAATATATCATCTGAAATTCATTGCAAATGAGAAATAATATTAGGTCATCTCAGATTGATTACTATTATATAAGTATACTTGGGGAACTTTACAACTGTTTTTTTCAGAAAGGTGTTTTGTGTATATTACAGTAATTTAATAGTTGACGTCACGAGTCAATTGAAGCAGTGACCAGTCGAGTTCAACTGGGTCTGTTGTGAGATAGTAACTCACTGGAGACAATGGTGGATCGTGGCTCAATTTCGTGGATTAGTTGAAGTTAGATATTAACACCGTTGGATGCCAGCCAGCTTAGTGGTCTAGAGGTTAAGCGTTCGCACGCAAAGGCGGTGGGCCCTGGGTTCGAATCTCACATGGCGGGATTGTGGTTACACATTGCTAAGGAGTCCCATGCTAGGACAAAACGACCGTCCAGTGTCTTCAGGTTTCCCACGGTGGTCTAGTTTCAACTGACTCACGAAATCAACTATTAAGTTGTTTTTCTATTAAGGTTCAGAATTAATTACTCTGAAAGTAAAATACATTAAAAAGTAGTATAAGAATAAAATAAAATACGTAGTAGTAGTTTTTAAAATTATATCGATTGGCAATTAAAATCATAGTCACATCAATCAAAAATATCAAAAATGTAATAGTAGTTAAGGCTCCATCTCTTTCTGAGAAGCATAAAAGTAGAGTCTATGACGGTTTGAGTTTGTGAAGAGAGACGATATTCAGTTAGGCTTTAGTAGTATGTTATTGACAAATGGGTGATGTTCAGCTTTTGGTAGGCTTGTGTCTAGGCTAAAAGTATATCATGTGCTGGGTGAATGTCGAGAGTAGGGTGTGTTAGCGAATCTGGAAGAGCTAATGATTCGATGAGCAAGCAAGATCCACCTAATTTAATAATAAAAAAGGATCGGTAACAGTGAGAGACAAAATAAGTACAAAATTAGGAGAACCTAACTATCGATTCTAAAAGCCGTTGAGTGGGGTTTCCAATGGTTTAACAGGTATATGACTCAGTTCTGGGAGTCTATGCTGATCGAACTTACGGATTCTAGTATACTAAAAAATAGAATACAGAACCATATTGTTCAATCTATTGGCGGCGCTTTCCATGTAACAGTTGGCTTAGTCAATCGAGTACCATTAAAAATCCAATGAATGAACACTAGATTTGAGATCTTCTTCTTAGTTGAATGTCCTTTAGTTATCATCCATTAAGTAATTATGAGTGAATAAGTATGATCTTGGAATTAGACATTTTTCATAACGATAACGTTTAAAATTAGGTGAACGGTTGCACTCTTCTGAAGAAAATATTATGCAGATATTAATAATGCAAAATTTTTCTTGTTGTTCATGAAATATATGAATTTTAAGGCATCGATGCAAGTGAATGCTACCAGTGTATTTAATGATGGATTGATAAATAAACAAGAAAATATGATATGATTCTTTTAGGAAATTTGAATGTGGATGCGCACTGCTGAGGAGTTCCACAATAGGACGGAACGGCCGTCCAGTGCTTTCAGGTTTTCCATAGTGGTCTAGCTTCAACTGACCCATGATCTCAACCAATAGAAATTTGGACTTCATAAGAATTAAATATTGGTTTACAGATGATAAGAATACAAGATGTCAGTTCATTATAGGTAGTTCTTTTTAAGGAACTTATATTAGTTAGGATACAATTAAAAACAGAGAACAACGCTTGATTGTTTTACGCAAGTATGAGACTCTTAATAACTAAATACAAACAATGTTGATATGATTCCAACCTGACACCTTCAACTCCTACAGCGAACGATTTACCATGTACTGGACACAATTGAGGAATCTAGTATTTAAAAAAAAATTGGTGACTGAATGCTACTGGAACGGATATCGATATCTGACGAAAGTCAGCAACAAATCATACTTATCTCCATGAAACCCATTCACAGAAATAATTGTTCAAAAATGTTAAATGAATATTAGAAATGATCTAAAGAAAAGATACCCATGGATAGACAGCCATATAACACTAACCAATTGAGTCGACGACAGTCACTCCAATTCTGCAAGGAGAAACAAGCTTCTTCACTGGAGCATAAATATAAATGAAATAGTGATATGACTAAAATTTAATCACAATGGCCGATTGATCATCTGTCTTCTTGTATACTTTGTATACTTTATCATTCGATATCTCTGAGTGCTACGTCTGCTCTTGTTATTTTTACTTCATATCCCTCCTAAATTTTTTTAATTCTAAGAACTGGAACCGACGTAATCTTATTTAATGCTCAACTCAAACCATTTTATTTGTTCTGTTGTAATTTTTAAAAAGTTGACTTCCTAAAAAATTAACTGGGAAACTGATGTCACTGAAATATTAGGGAACTGATTCTTAACCAAAAGTTGGTTTTAACTTATAAATTATGATCGTGGAACCGTTAGTTTAATTGTTTGCCATAAATCTTAAATATTTTGCGAATCCTAAATCTTTGTTTCATAGTTAGAACCATTTTAACTACTTGTTAGTAGTTAAACTACTTATGTTAAATTATGTTAAATTTCAGCTGACGAGTTCGCTTGACATATATGAAAAACGAAGAACGTAAAGGTCATAACAATAAAAACTGAAAAATAATCATGGAAAATTGTTTAGAGGTGACAATAAGTGATTACGGTTTAAAAGTACAAAATGCTAATTCAAAAATCAAAAAAACTGAAACGTACTACAAAAAGGGATTAGGGTCAAGGAAGGATGAATGATGTTACATACCTATCAACAAATCTTGGTAGATGACCATTTCTGATGAGTTTCTGTCGATGCTGAAGTAGCTCATCATCCATCATGTTGTTAGAACATACTCACCTGATCCTTGAGGATAGTGAGTGAATTAAGTTTGTCTTTCTACTCAACGGGACCCAGCTATAGAAATTCGTAAACTGATAATTCCAGGTCGGTTTTCAACATATAAATCTCTGTACGGAACTGTCGAACCTTCTTGTCAATCGGGCATCAATAAAATGAAATTCCCCGTTCGCCTCTGCTTCCATCGTCCATTGAATTGAGTGATCACAGTTACTGGATCGATTTAAAATTTCATTGACATCCTTATCTTCTTCACATATGGTGAAAATATCATCCATATATCTCTTATATAAATGAAATCTGTCAACTATTGGTTAAATTACCGCATTTTTCCGATTGGCCATGAAACAATCAGCCGAGAAGATACCCAATGGTGGACCCATTGCAACTCCATCTGTTTGTCTATAGAAATCATTATTAAATTTGGTTTGCACATTGAGAGTACATCGTAGGGTTAGTTCTGTTAGATAATATTTTGGAATACACATATCAAGGTTGTTATTTTTAGTATAGTCACATAAAAATCATATAGTTTTTGTGGATGGAACATTTGTAAAGAGAGGAGTGACATCCATTGAGATCAGTTCTGTAATTTTTACATTGATATTTCTAATTAAGTCGACAAAGTCAAATGAGTCAAGAGAGTTATATCAATTGATGTGATTTCTGACGGGTTGTAAATTATCAGCTAACCACTTAGCAATCAGATGATATGGAGAGTTATTAGGAGTCCATTTAGTCTCGGTATAACGGAACCCGATGGTCTAAGATGATCATAGAGATCACAATTGATCATAAACTTATCTTTCATATTTCTTAGGATTTTAATTAACATCTGTTCCGTTTTCTTAGTTGCATCTTTTGAATGGTTTATTTAGAGAAGTTGATAGGATTAGATAATGTCGAGGATAGTTTGTTGACATAATCATGACGATCTTTATGGACAATTTCTGCACATTTGTCTGGGCGACAGAGCACTGAATCCTGACTTCTCCGGAGATCAGATAATTGAGATTTATGCTTTTTTGTGAATAATCGTCTAGATTTCGTCAAAAAGAAAATTTTCTTCGCTAAATTCCCATTATTTTTGTTCAAATAGCATGGATTTAAAAGTACAGAACCACCGAACATATTGTCAATAAGATACATGTATAAACGGAATTTAGTACTGTAACGTATATACAAAATATTGACCAAAATAGAATGACTATAAATTACTTTTAATTTAACAAATAAACAGTCATCAAATTATTATTCATTAATGTAAAGGAATTGGTGAGCTTCACTTTACGTTACAGATTGATCTTATTTAAACAAACATCGGGGACTAAGAAGTA